AGTGTGATCTGCTTACTCTTGAACATTGGTAAAAATCGAACATTTCCGCTACTTTGAGCTCAATGTCAAAGTTGTTTTCGTGAAACTAATCAAAATCATCTCTATTTCTGTAATATGTTTTCCATTCTATCAAAAGAGACCAAGAAAACGAGAATATAACCATAAATACTATACGAAAATACACCTCAAAGTCGGTGTTTTAACCCTTTGACTGTTTCAGGCCCCTCTCTGAAACTGTCATTCTATGTCGCTCAATTTTTGAAAAAAAAAAAAATTATTTTTTCTTATGAAATGATAGAGAATCTTTTCCCGATGGTAATGACACCAAAAGTTCGAAATTTGGTCGAAAACTCGTGGAATTATGGTCCCGCGAAGTTAGCGGTCTCGGCGACATATGCGTATCGGCGATTTCGCCGACTTTGAGCCCAATTTTCAGCCAATTCCATTGTTCCAGTTGACCAAACTCATAGCTATTTCTTTAGAACTCCATTTTATCTATCAGCTGAGTACAAGAAACCTCCCATTTACTAATTTGGACTACCCAATATGGTGGTCAGAAATTGGCAATTTGGCCAATTTCACGCAAAATAAAAAAGATGCCAATTTCAAAATAGGGTCCAGAATAAACAAGGTAGACATTCGTGGCACTAAAATAACATATGCTCTGTTCATTAGTCACATCTCTAGGCCCCTCTTATATTATTATTGCTTTCTATTTTGATTTTTTATTCATACAAAAAAATACAAAATTTACTGTTATGCAGACGACTGCATTATTGTAAAAATGGTATAAATAATATCAGTGCACTAGTGAAAGAATATTAGACTCCCTAGTTGACGTGTATTGGACGTGTGGTGTGATTTATTTACTCTTCAACATTGGTAAAAATCGAACATTTTCGCTACTTTGAGCTTAGTTTCAAGGTCGTTTTCATCGTAAAAGTAATGAAAATCATCTCTATTTCTGTAATATGTTTTCCATTTTATCACCTAAGACCATGAAAACGCGAATACAATGATAAATACTATACGAAAATACACCTCAAAGTCGGCGTTTTATTCCAAAAAAACGATCAGTTTTTTTTTTCTCATTACGCAATGTGTGCTGCAGGATTTTTTTTATGTGGTGCACACTGACCACACAGACCCATTCTCTCACATGTGGGCCTACCAGCTTTCTCCCACTTGATTTGAAGCCGCTAGAATTATTGAGTATATATACGTCAGAAACATTGGCTCGTAAGACGTATTTATACGTCGAAAACAGTCAAAGGGTTAATCCAACAACACGGTCAGAGTTTTTTTTTTTCCCTCATTATGCACTGCGTACTGCAGGATTTTTTTTATACAGTGCACAATGACCACACAGACCCATTCTCTCACATGTGGCCCTATCAGCTTTCTCCTGCTTGATTTGAAGCCACTAGAATTATTGAGTATAAGTATATAAGTCCAAAACACTGGCTCGTAAGACGTATATATACAGCCGAAACAGTCAAAGGGTTAAGGACCACAAATACATATTGTGGCAGGGACGACAAAAGCAATGCCTGTGGGATGCATGGGGATACCAAGGGACATTTGATGAAATAGAAAGAAGCCCAGCTGGTCATCAGGGAGCCAGATTTAGGAGATGCTAGTGTTTAGAAACATTCCTGATAGTGGTAACAAATATGGTAGTAGAGAACGCATGAAGCTGCAACACATCTGCCACTTTGGCACACATAATTTTTGAATATGCAGCACTTCACCCACCTTGGAATACAGCTATCAAATGATCTTACAATAGTTAAAGCTTACCTCACATTTACTTTTCCCTATACTGTATAAACGTATGTTTCTCATGTCACATGCATGTGTGAAGTGAACATGATCATCAACCCTCTTCACACACTTCACATCAACAAGCAGAATGTAAGGTAAGATACAGTGTAGTAATTTTTGGAATAGTAAAATGCTGAAAAAAAAAAGTGTGACAAATTTGGAGATGTCTGTAATGTAACCCTATTTTTTCCACATGTCCTTCCCTTCATATAAAGCAACATTTTTCACAAGGCTTTGATTCTCAGGAAAGTTACCCCCAGAATTATGACTGGGCTTACTGTATTATATTGTACTAATACATTTCAAACTTATCTCTAATCTTTTATTCCTTATCCCTCTACTCACCATATTTTCAATATAAATTTGAAGAAAGCTATATGCGTGCTGAATCCAGCAAATGCTCCTACGATTTAGATTTTTATTTTTTTATTAACACATTGGTCGTTTCCCACCAAGGAAGGGTGGCCCAAAAAAGAAAAACTTTCACCATCGTTCACTCCATCACTGTCTGCCAGAGGCGTGCTTACACTACAGTTATAAAACTGCAACATTAACACCCCTCCTTCAGTGTCAGCACTGTACTTCACATCTCCAGGAATCAAGTCCGGCCTACCAATTTCCCTGAATCCCTTCATAAATGCTACCTTGCTCACACTCCAACAGCACGTCAAATCCTAAAAACCATTTGTCTCCATTCACTCCTACCTAACAAGCTCACGCATGCTTACTGGAAGTCCAAGCCCCTCACACACAAAAACTCCATTACCCCCTCCCTTCAACCTTTCATAGGCCAACCCCTACCCTGCCTTCCCTCCACTAGAGATTTATACACTCTCAAAGTCATTCTATTTCATTCTATCCTCTCTACATGTCCAAACCATCTCAATAACCTCTCCTCAGCCCTCTGGATAATAGTTTTGGTAATCCCACACCTCCTCCTAATCTCCGAACTACAGATTCTCTGCATTATATTCACACCACACACTGCCCTCGGACATGATATCTCCACTGCCTCCAGCCTTCTCCTTGTTGCAACATTCACAACCCATGCCTCACACCCATACAAGAGCATTGGTATAACTGTACTCTCATACATTCCCTTCTTTGCTGTCATGGATAAAGTTCTTTGTCTCTACAGACTCCTCAGTGCACCACTTACTTTTTTCCCTTCCTCCCAAATATATGAACACATTCACCTCCTCCATACTCTCTCCCTCCAGTCTGATATCCAATCTTCTACTACCTAATTTTTTTTGTTATCCTCATCACATTACTCTTTCCTATACTATTCACTTTTAATTTCCTTTGTTTACATACCCTACCAAACATCATCAACCAACCTCTGCAACTTCTATTCAGAATCTTCCAAAAGCACAGTGTTATCAGCAAAGAGAAACTGTGACAACTCGCACTTCGTTAGATTCTTTATCTTTTAACCCTACACCTCCTGCCAACACCCGAGCTTTCACTTCTCTTACAAATCCATCTATAAATATATTGAACAGCCATGGTGACATCACACATCCCTGTCTAAGGCCTACTTTACAGGGAAATAATCTCCCTCTCACCTACATACTCTAACCTGTGCCTCACTATCCTCGTAAAAACTTTTCACTGCTTTCGATAACCTACCTCCTATTCTATACATTTGCAACATCTGCCATATTGCCCCCTATTCCACCCTATCATATGCCTTTTCCAAATCCATAAATGCCACAAATACCTCTTTACCCTTATCTAAATACTGTTCACCTATATGTTTCACTGCAAACACTTGGTCTACACACTCCCTACCCTTCTTAAAGCCTCCTTGTTCATCTGCTATCCTGCTCCATCTTACTCTTAATTCTTTCAATAATAACTCTACCATACACTTTACTGGGTACACTCAACAGACTTATTCCCCTATAATTTTTACACTCTCTTTTGCCCCCTTTGCCTTTATACAAAGGAACTATGCATGCTCTCTGCCAATCCCTAGGTACCTTTTCCTCTTCCATACACTTATTAAATAAAAACACTAACCACTCCAAAACTACATCCCCACCTGCTTTTAACATTTCTATCTTCATCCCATCAATCCCAGCTGCTTTACCCCCTTTCATTCTACCCACTCCCCCATGCACTTCCCCCACACTCACAACTGGTTCTTCCTCACTCCTAAAGGATGTTATTCCTCCTTGCCCTATACACGAAATCACAACTTCTCTATCTTCATCAACATTTAACAATGCTGATATTATATTTTTGTGCAGTTTCTTATGCTGATCATGGGATTATATACATTTTTTACAAGTTAAGTTTTCATTTTTGCTTCCACTTTGAATTCTTATTTTTGATCTGGTACAGCAACATTAGGATCTGGTATCCCCTGTGATACTAAGATCATCTGATGTTTTTCCACCAATCAGCAGTGATCACCTAACTTTTCCCAAAATCATTAGTAATCATTCAAATTTTTCACCAATTAGCACTGATCAAGTCATTTTTTCTGCCAAGAATGGCTCTCATCATGTTAGTATAGTCCACTGCAGATTAGGCAACATTTTGTTTTTCTTTCTTTTTTGAGTGTCATATTTTTTGTTTTTAACCCAACATTTTTCCCCCTCTACATCAGAGACTTTCTTACTTGTGAGAGTATCCAGATTTTCAGAGAAAAAAGGGGAAAATGTGGAAAAGTAGGCATTGCCACAAAAAATGAATACTGTACTACCAATCAAGACTGCATCAAAAGTTGATTAAGAAAAATTTATTTTGATACTTGAATTATTTACTGGATTCAGAGGAAGCTTTACCAAGAAAAATGCAATTGATAAAAGTCCATCCAGAAAAACTAGTGCCAAAGACAAAAGTACTGTGCAGTAAACCCTCAAAATAAGGGACTAATTGAGGGACTGTCCAAGTATTCGTTAAATCAGAATATTAAAAAGTAGCAAAAAAAAGAGCACTAAATTATTCTACTGTATACCTAATAAACACACAATGTAATTACAGGTAGTACTGCAATAAACACTGAAAATAATGGCATTAATAGTACAATTTAACTAGTGGATTTTGCCCATAATTTTAATAAGTCCACTATATTGAGGGTTTACTGTACTGGCAAACTTTATTACCAGTTGTGTTAAAATTTCTCAGTCCTTCACTTAAGAAAATATTAGAAGAATAACACTTACATCGATGACTGAATCATCACCTACGGCCCATCGGTGCCCCTTCTGGTAAGCAAAGTCGTTGTCATTATGGGGTCGTTGGCAAAAATAATTCACTTGCTCATCATCTTGAGAACGAGCAAGTGATCTGCCATATTCCATATACTGGCCCTGAACCTGCAACTGACAAAAGAGAACATTTTATTAAAAGTATAGTAATTAATAACTAGATTCATGGCATTCCTTATTTATAAAAAAAAAGTGCAAAGTACCACTAGCTTGAGCACTCAGTACCCTTTGGAGAAAGGGCTTAGATCTAGGTGAAATACCAAAGACCTTAGAGACACAGTTCCTTTGCATAAGGGAGGGAGTAGAGCACTGTGATAGATATGTGGGCCAGTGCACAACCAGCAGGAGCAACACGGTTGACCAAACAACCACAAGACAAGCCTGGCCAAGGGCCGGGATCTGGGAGTAGAAAAATTCTCAAAACTCTTCAAAATATATAAGTAAAATCTGACTGTTTACAGTCTTATTTATGGGTTTAAATGCAGCTTCAAAAGCACAACATTCACGGCTTAAACTGTATCATGAAATGGCAACTACAATATATATTGGAAATAAACTAATCCACTATATCATTAACCATTTTACTCCCAAAAGTAGTTCTGTTACAGTTAAAAAAAATCTCTTGAAACTGTCTTCTGGAGATTCTTTCTGAAGGTTATTATGCCAAAAACTCAAAATTTGAAGGAAACTTTATGGAATTACGCAAGCAAAAAGTTGGCAGTCTGAATCCAATTTACGTAACAGTGATTTTACAGACTTTGACCCGCACCAGTTGGCTAACACCCAGGTACATACTAAATGTTAGGTAAACAGAGACAGCAGGTGTCTTAACCCTTTCAGGGTCGAGAGGCCCTCTCCTAAACTCGTTCTCAGGGTCAAAAATTTTTTGGAAAAAAAAAAAAAAATTATTTTTTTCTTACGAAATGATAATCTTTTCCCAATAATAATGACACCAAAAGTACAAAATTTGATGGAAAACTTACGGAATTATGCTCTCGCAAAGTTAGCGGTCTCGACGATGTTGATGCATCGGTGATTTCGCCCATTTTGAGCCCTGTTTTCGGCAAATTCCAGTGTACTAGTCGACAAAAATCACATCTATTTTGCTAGAACTCCATTTTTTCTATCGAATGAGTACAAGAAACCACCCATTTGCTGATTTCAACTATCCAATAATGTGGTCCGAAATTGGAAATTTTGCAAATTTCACACAAATTTCAGAAGATGCCAATTTCCAAATAGGGTCCAGAATAAGCAAGACAGACATTCCTGGCACTAAAATAACATTTCCTCTGTTCATTAGTCACGTCCCCAGGCCCCTCTTACATCTCTCTTGTTTTCCACTTTGAATTTTTATTCTCACAAAAAATAGAAGATTTACTGTTATGCATTAGTGTAGAAATGGTGTAGAAATGGTATAAATAATATCAGTGCACTTGTCAAAGAATATTAGACTCACCAGTTGACGTGTATTGAACGCTTGGCATGATTTGTTTACTTTTGAAATTTTGTAAAAATCTAGCATTTCTGCTACTTTGAGCTCAATTTCAAGGTACTTTTAATTATGAAACCAATCAAAATCATCTCAATTTCTGTAATATGTCTTCCATTCTATAGACTGAGACCAGGAAAACTAGAATGCAACCATAAATACCATACGAAAATACACTGCAAAGTCTTTGTTTTAAACCAAAAACACAGTCGGAGTTTTTTTTTCTCATTATGCACTGTGTGCTGCAGGATTTTTTTATACTGTGTCACACTGACCACATAGACCCATTCTTTCATATGTAGGCTTACCAGCTTTCTCTCACTAGATTTGAAGACACTAGAATTTAGGCATTCTAGTACGTCAATAACCCTGGTGCGTAAGCCGTACTAGTACGTCGGAAACCCTGAAAGGGTTAAAAAAACACGCCCACTGTCTCCACCCGTACCAGGGATCAAACCATGGACACTCAATGTGCGAGCCGAGTGTGCTACCAATCAAGCTATGGGACACCACTAACTCAAAAAAAAAAAAAAAAAAAAAAAGTACTTAATAAATGTATGGCAATAAAGTACCAGAAAAATATTCCATGGATAAATAACATGGTATTATACTGCAGCCATTCTTACTTGAGGTCTGATGGGCTGTGGAGGTGTGGGGTGAGGTATGTGCCTTCCTGCCATCATGGCCGCTGAGGGGTCACCCTCGAATGCAGCCTGGCTCCACTTCATCCACCTAAAACAATAGAAACAAATTATTTTTATCTACTAAATTCAAAATACTGCCTAGTACCACCATCACAAGTCCTTCTGTATGCGAATGACAGTGCTCTGTTAGTGTCAGGTAAAGGCCCACAAAATATAGCTAATGTAATAACACTAGAACTGGAGTCCTGCAGCAAATGGTTAGTAGACAACAAACTATCGTTACACCTCGGGAAAACGGAAGTCATATTCTTTGGCACAAAACAAAAACTGAGAAGAGTAAATAATTTTAATGTCCGGTGTAAAGAGGAATCAATCACTTCAGTTTCCTCAGCAAAATATCTGGGAATTTCCTTTGACCCATGCATGTCAGGAGAACTGATTGGAAAGCAAATGCCAGACCGAAGTTCCTCTACAGACAAGCACAATGTGTACATACTGAGGCTCACAGGACCCTATGTCTAGCCCTTATACAATGTCATATGGACCATGCTTGCTCTTCATGGTACTCTCCTGACAAAAAACTGAAAGATAAACTGCAAATCACCCAGAACAAAATGACCTGGGTCCAAGAGAACATGTAGGCCAGGATGAATTACAACAATTGGACATGATAAATACTGAAGACAGAGTAAAACAACTGAAGTTAAATCAAGTTAATAAAATTGCTCACAAATAGTGTCCAGAATATCTAGCTGCTAATTTCGTCAAGGCTGGGAACTGAAGCAATCATAGTACGTACTAGAGGGAGAGAGCACAACTTTGTAGTACCTACACTCAGTGGCCAGGCTTCAAACACCTTTCACTGTACAGCAATAAAGGAATGGAACAGATTGCCTGAACATGTCAAAGCCAGTCATAGCATGAACCATTTAAAGAAGAGAGCCAAAAGGTATGTAATGTATGTAGTGATAGAAAGAGAGGAGAATGATTTTTTATTTTTTTTAGCTAACACGCATGTAAATGTAAATAACTCTTTTTACCTTATTCCTAGTATACATGTATATCCTTTATAGTATAATAATACGATATCTCTTACACTGTATAATAATAAAGTATTAAAAGGACCCCAATAGAAATAAGTCACTCTGTCTGACTTTTTTGGGTTATCCTAGGTTCTCTACACACATGCTGCTATGTATGATAACCTATGTAACCATTTGTGTATACCTCAATAAACTTACTTACTTATTCAGCAATGGGGGTCCTTGAGCTGTCTTAAAATCAGAGAATAAAATTGCAAAAATGGGGGTTTCGAATAATGAGAAAAGTGAATCATTTTAGAGGTGCATGGCACAGAGGAATCAGATGTTTGGGACAAAAGAGCAGAAAGGTTTAAGCAAAAGAACAAAAGGAGGCAGAGAATTAGTTAGCTAGTAAGGTAAATACAGTAGTGGGACTTTCAGAGATGAAGGCATATAGAATATGAATTTCAGGGTATTGAAAGGTCAAAAATTTAATCAATATACAGTAGGACCCCCATATCAGCAGGTCGGTCCGGTTTTCGTGGTTTCAGTTATCCATGGTTTACTGTGGCCAAAAAATAAGCCATAATTTTGCTTAATAATGGTAACAAAGCACAAAAGTAGTGGTGATGACAGTTCTTCAAAGCCTGAAAGAAGTCGTGAAGTGCTTCCCATCAGTGAAAAAGTGCTAATTCTCGACTTATTTATCAATTAAACTTTACCAGAGGTATGTAAACAAAAAACGACATATATAGGGTTTACTACTATCCGTGGTAGGTCTTGGAACCTATCTTCAGCAGAAATGGGGGTCCTGCTGTACCTGTGATTGTAATCCATTAATCATATACCCTATGATAGATCTAGATTTGACTAGTACAGTGGACCCCCGGTTCACGATATTAATCCGTTCCTGAGAGCTCATCGTAAACCAAAATTATCGGAAAGCGAATCAATTTTCCCCATAAGAAATAATGGAAATCAAATTAATCCGTGCAAGACACCAAAAAGTATGAAAAAAAAAAAAACTTTTACCACATGAAATATTAAGTTTAATGCAACAGAATAATTACAATAACAACAATAACAATAAATAACAAAAGAATTGACACTTACCTTTACCTTACTCCTTGAATTCATGCGCATATTTTTCAGCGAATTTAAGGCCAGCAAAGGTTGGTTTGAGAGATTTAAGAATCGTAGTGGCATACATAGTGTGATAAGGCATGGTGAGGCTGCCAGTTCAGACCACAAAGCGGCTGAAAATTTTTTTTATTTATTATCACAATGGCCGATTCCCACCAAGGCAGGGTGGCCCGAAAAAGAAAAACTTTCACCATCATTCACTTCATCACTGTCTTGCCAGAAGGGTGCTTTACACTACAGTTTTTAAACTGCAACATAAAGCACCCTTCTGGCAAGACAGTGATGGAGTGAATGATGGTGAAAGTTTTTCTTTTTCAGGCCACCCTGCCTTGGTGGGAATCAGCCGTTGTGATAATAAATAATAAAAATTTTCAGCCGCTTTGTGGTCTGAACTGGCAGCCTCACCATACCTTATCACACTATGTATGCCACTACGATTCTTAAATCTCTCAAACCAACCTTTGCTGGCCTTAAATTCACTCACATCACCACTAGTTGCAGGCAATTTTTTTACCAAATCGTCATGCAACTGCCTAGCCTTTTCACAAATGATTGCTTGAGAGATGCTATCTCCTGCTATCTGTTTTTCATTTATCCACACCAATAACAGTCAACATTTTCTAACACTTGCGGTCGCTGTTTCGTATTCACAGTTGCACCTTTTGCAAGAACAGCTTCCTTGATTGGCGTTTTGTTGGCCACGATAGTAGAGATGGTTGATTGGGGTTTACTATACAACCTGACCAGCTCCGACACACGCACTCCACTTTCGTACTTTGCAATTATCTCTTTCTTCATTTCAACAGTCATTAGCACCCTTGGTCTTGAAGGGTTGGCACTGTAAGCTTTCTTGGGGCCCATGGTGACTTATTTTGCAGAAACAGGCACCAAAAACAGTGATAATATGGATAATATGGAATGTACCGAATGTATCCTTAGATGCGCGCACACTGGCTGTCTTGTAAACACTGGCACACAAGGGGCAGTTCAGGCCACACGTGGAGACGTCTCGTACGCATCGTTTCGCATACCGGGTTTTGTATCGGGAAGCGAGGCAAATTTTATTCGATCAAATGCATCGGCTACTGGATTTATTGGATACCGATAGCATCGGGAACCGGGGGTCCACTGTATGTAAGCTTTATGATCAGTTTGCCTAAAATGCACTGCATAATTAGCAGCTTTCTTCTGAGCTTACAATTTATAAAATTGTACAATAAGTCCTCACTTAATGTTGTTGATAGGTTCTTGGAAACTGCGACTTTAAGTGAAACGACATACTGTATAACAAAACCAACTTTACCGTAGGCTAATTGAGATAAACATAAGGGGCGCACAGTGCACCTTTAGCACTCATTGCAAGAGGGTTAAATCAAGGAATAAATGTTTGCAAAGCCACCACAGAGTTCAAAAACAAATGTGCATACTCCACACAGACAGTGGCCTAAGCTAATAATCAATTTTTTTCTCATCGTTATAATGAAACGACATTGAACACAATGACATTAAGTGAAGACTTACTGTATTATACTAAGATCAGTATCAAAAACACAATCAAATGCTGTAACTTTTTTGTGTGGTTCATAATAAATAATTTTTTATTAACCCTTAAACTGCCCACACGTAGATATACATGCACGTGCACAGCGCTCCAAACGTATATCAACATTTTATTTTTCATTCCTTCAAATTTGGCGTGATAGGCCTGAGTCGCCTAGACATAAGAGAATGGGTCTGCGCACTCAGTGTGCACAGTATGAAAGTCGTCAGTGATGCCAGGGTGCTGCGTGGTAGAACCAATTAGTTTCAGCTCCATCTTGGGTCAACATCATGGCAAACCCTCGTGATTCACTCACACCTCGTCGTATTAATACTCTACTATTCTCAGACAGTGAAACAGAATGCGAGTTTAGTGGATTTGACAGTGATATGGCCTCTAATGATCAAGGAATTAGTACAAATATTGATGACAACCCAGATGACCCTCAGCCCATCACCTCTGGGGTGGCCAGTGTAGACAGTGTGGCCATACCAGACCCTCAGCCCAGCACTTCTGGGATGGCCAGTGTGGACAGTGTGGCCAGTGTGACCAGTGTGGCCACAACAGACCCTCAGCCCAGCACCTCTGGGGTTGCTAATGTTACTAAACAGAGGCAACTCTGCAAGAGGAAATTATCATTTTTCATGTGTTATGGTGCTGGTGATAGTGAAAGTGATAAAAGTGATGATGATGAAATTGATTTTATGCCTATAGACGATTCCTCGAGTTAAAATGATCATCATTTTTTTCTCAGTGAAACGTACTTTTAGACGTTGTAACCTATGATCAGGCAGTGTGCCATATGTATCGGTTGCAAGGGTCGTGGGAGGTCACGATCCAAAACCCCAGCCACTGAGAGTGATAGTGATCATGAAGGAGAGTATGCTGGGATGGAGGAAGAGGGAGGTGGCATGGTGCCTGGACCTCGTGGTGAGGAGGGTGGGCAGACAGAGGACTGCTTGACACCCTCTCAACCATGTGCTGCCTCCACTCCTGTGTCCCCTCCTGCTCCCCCACACCCCATGCCACAGGTCCACCCTGCACCATCTGACCGTGAATGGAACTGGACAGACAGTACACCATTCGTGCCACATCCTTTCAGTTTTGATGCCAGTGGAAGTGGCATCATGCCACACTGTCCCATCACAAATTAGTCTACAGAGTTGGACTATTTTCAGCTATACTTTGATGAGCCAATAATGACCCTGATTGTTACCCAGACCAACATGTACTACCAGTATACAATGGTCATGTCTGCGCAGGTGGAAAGATACAACTGTGCCTGAAGTGTATTTATTCCTTGGGACAATCATGCTTATGCCACACACATATAAGAACAATATAGCACACTACTGGTCCACAGAGCACTTCATCTGTACTCCA